TCTTTCCCTTGGCAAGTATAGTGACCAGATATAATCCAAGTAGAACAATCCACAAACCAGTACTCCCTACCAGCAGGTCCAAGCAAAACCAATACACCATGCAGTACAACTTCAGGAGCAACTGGTACACGAGTTCACATACAAAGGAATGGAGGGGCTTCCTAAATTGAAAAGCCAGTTTCAGGCCTCAGAACATTTCCCCCTTGGAAGAAAATTACACCATTAGCCATCAGTATGGAGGCAGATGCTTCTCAACACTAATCAGCTGTTTCAGATAGACAATGTCATCTTCAAAAGAAGGGCAGTCTGAAAGCGTTTGCATATAGGGATGATTACCACAGTTAACCATGGGCTTATTTTGCTGGTTAGTTGAATCTCAGTAGTCACTCTAATAGCCAGAGTGCACAGAGCTTCTATGACACTTCTGCGACTAACTGTGGAGCATTATGAGGCTCATGGTTCTCCATACTTACCTTCCCCAATCTTCTCTATTTTTGTATAATCATCCATTGCTATGGTTATTCCTGAAATGAACAGAAAAAACCACATGAGGGTAAACAGTTGCTGTCCTGAACACAGCCAAGTCACTGAAATTATGCCAGATCTTTGGAAGCTACTTCTGTCTTAAATAATTAGAATGCAGTGTGGAACACTTACCATTCACATGAACAAAAACACAGGCTTTTAATCAGGGTTCCAACTAGAAAAAAACTACATCCCAAAGTATGATTAGGCACCAACTCAAAGGAGAAAGATGCTTTTGTGAAGAAAGCTCCTCCAAGCAACTGAAAAAACACACTCTACTCATTAGTTTTACATAGTTACTCATTAGCAGGAACCCTACTATCTAAAAATCACAGGGTTTGGTGTTGGCAGCACAGGGGAACACCAGCCCCGTATCGTTTGACAGGTACACGGCACAGAGCTACAAACCACAACTGCCTTACCGGGCACAGGTACTAGGAGGCATTAGCACCTGGCGGGACCTTCCATGCTGCTCTTCACCTCCTCCATCCGGCACAGCTGAGCTCTAACGCCAGGTTCAGAAGTGTCACACGAGGTAACGAGCGGGTTCGCCGTTACCGGCAGCTCCAGGGGAGGTCTCCGCGTTTGGGAGCCGGCGCGGAAAGGGCAGCGAGCGCTCGCCCCCAGCCCGCTAACTAACGGCAGCCGAGGCCGGGAGCGCGCAGCTCCTTTCGGCCCAGCTCCC